CAGTTGCAGTTCAATAATTTAGCAAATGCCACAAATATGTAAGGCCCTGTTCCAGTTAGCTGTAGAGAGTGTTTTAGGGTTATTTGCTGTTAGAATGCTCTTCAGCTTCTTCAGGTTTTTCACCTTTAACGTTCCTGCAAGAAGTGTAATATTTGACAAAGATACGCTGAAATACAGATCCAGCATCTGACACTCCAGCATTTCACCTGTCTCCTACTTGTAGGACACTTACCATGAAGCCATTTAAACCTTTAGAAAGCTTTAAAATTAATTTTATTGATGGAAAGATTGTGAATTTGATCTGGAATCTGCTTTAGGATTGACAAAGTGCCCCCACATTCATTAATTTACTGTTATTTTTATGGAAGTCGCTTAAGAGCAATAGCAATACACCTGCTGATTCACAGGAACAGCAGCTGTACTCATGCAACAGCCACATGCACAAACACAGTCCCTACTGACACGCTGTATGTCTTGTCAAGACTGCCTGAGTATTTAAGTAAGTCTGTTATTTCTCCAAACCCCAACTCCTTCAAGTTTTCCTTGAGAATTATTCTGCTGAGGGATACATTTTCATCAACACTATGGATTTATAGGAACAAAGCCACTTGCTGAAACTCAGGCAAAGCAAGCAGAGGTCCAAAACCTCAAACCACCATCAGGACACACCTCCAGTTGTGATGGGGACAAAATAAAAAGGCTTCCCAGAAGAATAGTTCATTTGACCTCAGTCTGGGATCAAGATTAGGCCTGACAGGCTGCTCACCACCTCTCTCATCTCCTTTGCTACTTGAGCTACAGCAGATTTTCTGTTACTGCCCATTACTCTATGAACCCTAAAGAGTGGTAGTAAGTAAAGGTCTGGTCATCAGCCCAGAATCAGAATCGTTAGTCTGGATTTACAGTGGTGTGCTCAGTTAGAATTAGAGCCAAATACCACTCCATTCACTATGCTTGCTGCACTTCAGCATCTTGGTCCTGGATCTACTTCTTTTCCTTGGAAAAAAGTACTGTACAGAGTACTTACAGGGCGATCAGCATGCTCATTTTGCAACACTTCCCTGAGTTTCCGAGGTTAAACACACCACAGTAGGTAGCCCAAGCAAAAGAGGAGAAATCTTGTAATCTCTGTTACCTGGCAGCCCTCCGCTTACATCCTTATGCCCCACTTGCAAAGTTCAAGGAATCATTTCAGGCAGGTTTACAATGAAGAAGTCATCATAATTCTGCTATTTATTCCTTTCTATTTAAGAGCCTGCAATACAGCCTGGTTTGAACACATACTCTGCCTCTGGAAGACAGGCATTAAAGCAAGATTTGATAATAACATCATTCCATTTAATTGTACAAGGAAAAATGTAACGCATTCACAGTATGTAGTATTAACTCCTTTCAGTTTTTCTATTCTTTGTTTCTGCTTGAATTCATAGCTTACACTTAAATATTTTTGCAGTATTCAAAAGACTGTCTCAAACGCTGTAGTTTAAATCAGACAAAGAACAAACGAAGTCTTGAAAAAATGATGACCAACTGCATCATCGGATAAGCTCTTCCTTCATGCAGGTCTTGGCTAGAGTACAAGAGTTCGGTTATTACAAAGCAAGTCAAACATATCCATGATTCCTTGCATTGTTTTAAGGTCTTTGGGACATTGGTCCCTTCCCCAACAGCAGGCACCTTCCATAGAGAGTTCTGGAGATGTCTGATATCAGTTACAGCCGAGTGAATAAATTCTTGGGCTCAAAGCATCAGCTGATATAAATCACTACTGTGCTAATGAAGTCAAAAGAGCCACATCAGTTTACACACAGGACATGACCCATACTTGCAGCCTGGGAAAGCAAGTCAAAGGAAAACCGCCTTTTCTTTTTATAGCCTGGCTCTCTAATTAGGATTTTTGTCTGCACTGTAATTTGGTATTGGGAAGAAAAAAAAAAAAACCAAAGAGAAGAGAAGAGCACCACATACTTTCAGCAGATGGATCAATACGAGCTATAAAAACTTGTCATAGCTGAGTTTACTCAAACATAATCTGCAAACGTCCCAGAGCCTTCAATACCCCAAAAAGTATGAACAGTATTGTTGCAAGCACACTGGGAATGGCAATTCCGGTCCTTAGTAAAAAGGCTGGCTAATAAGAAGTGACATCCCCTGCCTGGGGAGGGAACAGCTACTGTGATCCTGAAAAATTTTGGGCTCAGGAGACAAACAAAAAGGAGGAAGTGGAATAAAACAGCCATCCCATACATGCCAGGTTGGTGTCCAGGTAAGAGTCCAAGCAGCGTGCACGTGGCTTGCCTCTGGGGACAAGTGAGGGAAGCGCTTTTGAATTTAAAAAGCGCAAGACTAAGCTCAGATAAAAAACAACTAGGGAAACAAAAAAAGAAAACTAGCAAATCGTTGCTTGATTATTGTGCAAAGAGTAAGTTACCTATTTTGCCACTCTGGAAACAAATAGTTAAGCTGTTTTAACACGATTGTATAATTAATTCACTTGACAAAGAGAAAGGATAACCCAGCTATAAACTGGAAAAACAGATGACTAATCATGCAGTTGATAAACAGTTTGCTCTGCTAGAAAAAGACCTGAACTTCAACTATTCAGTCCTTCCATGCCTGCATACTTCTGCCCAGTTCTCTCAAACCATCCCTACTCTACAACACTGTGAGAACAACCTTTGGCAGCCACCTCCCAGGACTTCTCCCACTGAAGGGCAGTGATCCCTGACCCAACAGGCTAGAGAGCCCATGCTCTGCAGTCTCCTTCAAAGTCACAGAAGAGGACTGGCCTCGTATTTTACTAGCATCACTGTCAGCTTAGTTTCCTGCTTCTGAAGTCAGAGTTTAGGGTGTGAGCTGAAGCACTGCAGGCACATAACACTCCCCTGGATGGCACAATGATTTCTTGGTGCTAGTCACCTTGTTCTCTAGTGCAGATCTCCAGCAGAAGGATCAGCATTGTGTCATCAGCCCAGTCTGAAGACAGGGAAAACAGCAGGGGTATGATGGAACAAAGGAGGAAGAGACAAACAAGATTTCAGTGACTCCTATTATTGTTGAAGGGAACAATTTCTAAAGGCTTCTTCTCAGAAAAGGAAATGGACACAATTGTTTGGGAACATCCACAAGCATGAATCTCAAATGTTAACCCCCAGGATTCCCTTATTAAAGGTGCCATTAATCAAAGGGACAGGCCAGAATTTACTGTTCCCTTCAGCTTTATAGAGGGAGCGCAGGAGAATGTGTGTTGGGAAAGCTTTCAGGCTTTGCCACATGTGAGGAGGCATGAATCTGTCTTCCCTCTTGTATGAGCTTCCTTACTTGTCAGCATGATTCTTTCCACTGAGCAACAGGCAAAAGAAAAGCTGTTTAAAAAGGAAATACTGCACTTTTCCATTAAGGTTATAAGTTATAAACCTCCACAACTAGCATACTTCTCCTACTGAAGAAGAGGAGGGAGCATTTTTTCCACATATAGTCAACAGTTTTCTTTCATTTGCCTACTTCTGTGATCAGCGTTTCGGTGGCAACCCCCCTCCCAACGCAGAGTTAGGGATACTCAGTGGCTTCAGCAGTCTTTCCAAGCAGGGCAAGGACAGCTGCATTTTGAACAGGATTGATCCAGAGACATGAATAAACTCGAACTGATGCAGGCATGACAAAGTCATGCAAGCAATTTCTCATGACCTTACCCACCATGAACATTCACAAGCCCTAACAGGCATTGCAGGAAGGAGACTTAATAGGACTTGTCATCCACCTTTGCATTTTCTGCACAAGAAGGGAGAGCTAGCCATCCAAGTCCTCTCCCACAGACATTTCCACTCATCTGACAGACACACAAACAAAACAAACTGCTGTAGACCCTCTTCTCCATTGCCTCCTTGAGCACTTATTCCCATCTAAAAGAACGCAGCGGACAACATGCTCTGAATGGGGAGGGCCACACAGCCCTGGATGTATCTGACGACACCGAATCAAACCACACACTATACCAGCTCATACCAATGAGCAGGCTGGAGCCTCCTGCTAAATCCTTATCAGTACAAACAGCCACACAGCAGAGAGTCCAGGCCAGAAAAGCTACATGACTGCTCAAAGTCTCAGATCAAGTCTCATTTCTGACAAGGTTTTAATTCCAAAAGCCCTGTGCTATGAATCACTACATGACTGAAAAAAACATGGAGGTAGTGTTAACACAGTGTCAGGTTCCCCTGGGATTTACAGAGCTCTGTAAGGAAGACACCTTCTTATAAAAAATAATCCTCATCTGAAGCAGCTGCCAAACATGGTCTTTAAGGAGAAGGTTTCAGATATCTGCAATAAAAGCTTGACAAGAACAACACAGAGCCACTTAAACCTGATGTCATCTTAACATTTGGGCAATTCTGCCCAAGGTTTGCTTGATGATTCAAAATGGGAAGATTCACTACTCTTTAGTGTAAGGACAGAGAGTAGAATCATCATTTGTCTGTCTGCCAGGTCAACACAGTCAAACAAGACCTCATTTGTGACAACTTTTTTTTTTTTTTTAATAACTACGTATCTGTGAGCATTCACACACTACACAGGCATGAATCATTTGGGTATGACACTGACTATCAAGATGGATAGGTAGGATTTCTAAATGTGAAGTAGCAGTACACCACTAGGACTCCCTCCCTCCTCACAGCTCCCTCAAATAAGTGGAGCGGTGCAGCTGGCATGCTCAAGCGATGACACAGTACCAGCAGCACAAGGTATACCTTCCTCAGAAAAGAAGGGGCTCTTGGTGATTCTCAGCATGTTATCCTTCAAACACCTTACAGGCAGCAATGCAGTCCCTCTACCTGCCCTGAAGTCATGCCATTCCTGCAAGTTGTAATGAATTGCCTGAGAGGAGGAGTGAGAGGGCTCCTAGGTCCCTCTTATATCATTTCAGCCTTTAAATGGGGGCCACAAATCCACTCTTCACCTTGCCCCAGCACACTTTGAGGCACCAAAATGAAACTGCATCTTACCTTGTCTTTGTATAAAAACCCTGAGCAGAGGATGAGCACTTGAAACAGCCTTGAAGAAGTTGTCATCATTATTGATAGGGAGAAGGTCTCCATGCACATCAGCATATCCAATCATCACTTCCAGGTTGGCTATGTGATGAATGTGAAGAATTAGTTTGTAGAAGTCTTCAAACTTTCCTGGCTTGTAGCGATCCAGGGAGAACCTTCTGAACTCTGCCCCAAACTGCAAGAGAAAACAAACAGAGTGTTTGCTGTCAAATGTCACCACAGCCCAATGCTCTAGCTTGGCATTTGAACATGGTATACATCACCTCTCTCTTTCTATGATGAATATAGTCACATATCGGCGCTTTCAAGTCTACAAATGACCTCTTAGGCCCTCACATTAGAATATAACCATGGCTACCAAGACACCACCCTGCTTGACAATAGATATGCTCAAGTTCACCACCTTAAAAGAAAGTGTATTTTTTAAATATTAAGTTTTCATTAAATCCTCTAGAGGATAATTGCATTGGTAGGATTTAACTTTGAAGCTCCATCATTCATTATCATCATCTCAGGCATCCACAGAACCATTCTTCTCTGAAGCAGAAGTGTTCACTCTACTGCTTTCAAAAGAAGTTACTCAGCTATTCAACCAACCTTATAAAAATTCTTTGCACGTTTCCCATCAATACCACTGGGATCCCAACCACAAGACCTTTAAAGAAGTGTGGTATGTGAGCACACAGCTTGTTATTAGGAAATACACTCACTCTACATGCCCCCTGAATTTCCTGGTATCCATACAGGAGGAGGAAAGTTCTTACTCTAAGTTAGTTTTCATGGGTTTAATTTTTCTGTCACTCCACTGTTTTTTATTTTTGAAGCTTTACAGACCAGTAAGTGGTTGTTAAAAAGAAGAAGAAAAAAAAAAAGAGGGTGTCATTTGGCACAAGACAATTGAAAATGTTATAAATCAATGAAGTTATTTAAAATAAGTCAGAAAGTGATTGAGGAAAATATTTCAATGGACCTTATTTCTGATATTAGAAACCAAATATGCTATTAAGAATAGGAGGAAAAAAAATAGATTCTCTAACCAAGGAAAAGAAGAGAGTGAAAACACAGGCATCTAGTTAAACTAAGTAGCTTAAATAATCTTTCTGGTACTTTTAATTCTACAACTCAGATATAGTATAGTACTAGTAAACTACTGTTCACCAACTGAACCTCTAAATCATGCTAACTCACTCCTGAAAGCATGGAACCACATCCACAAATCCAAGAACAAGGAAGGCTGTGACTAGGATCTCATGGAAGTTCTCATTTGCAAAGTCAGTCAATACCAGAGCAAGAAACCAAAGGAAAAAAACAAAACAAAACTAACAAGCAAACAAAGGAAGAAAAAAAAATATTGAGAATTTTCTGTAGATAAATTCGTCCTCAAAATGGAGAATGACTTGCTTAGAGATTCTCAGATGTTAAATCAACTTATACATGCAAGCCACTCTTTTGCTGAGACTAACAAAAGTATGAATCATCACCATAATCATCTTCAAGCAAAAAAACCCAAACAACCCTACTGGCCTTGGGTGCAAGCATGTTCTCAAATTACTTCCGCAGTTATGAAAATCCCACTCTTCAGCATCAAAGCCTAGTTGTGATCATCTGAAAGCTTGTTTAGTCAAATTATGCTGCTTGTTTGTAATATTAACTGCTAGTTCCAGTTTGGATTTCAATTCAGAGTGCCCATCCAAATGCACAAAAGCTGAACAAACCACAGCTGGTTCCAATGGAGGAAGAACAGTCCTCCTTTGTCCTCCACCCCCTGCTCCTCTCCAGAAAAATCCAAGTGGCAACTTACTTCTGTTGACATATTTCGAACTGAAAAAGAGCTTAAGTCTTTTTATTTGAAAAGTATCTTAAAGTTTTCTTTTTCTTAGATTCAAACAAGAAGCAACCATCTTCAAGTGACAAGTTTAACATCTGCGTGGTAAACTAAAGGGGCAGGAACAAGATCTTTGTAGGCTTTGCTTAGGGCTGCATCTCCTGCACACCTGAACAGAAACAAAGGATTCCTTTAGCCGAAAAAGTGCCAGGCCAGGGTATTTGGATGCCAATCTCAGTAACCACTTGTTTACTGGACAGACAACTTGTTCAGGACCATTAGCATGCACGGTACTTGCAAGGAAGCGGATGCTGTGCAGTCTCTCCCCAGCCACTACAACACCCATCCTACACAACCCCCCGGACACCTGCCCGGCATGGTCCTGCTCGGCCTGACACAGGCGCCGAGGCACAGACAGCTCCCGTGCTGGGGCATCGCACTCAGCGGGAAAGCGACATGGGAAAGGAGAGAGGAAAGAAGCAAGGATGGTTATTTACACGTTGGTATGACCCAAAGTTCAGCTTAAGCTGCCACATGAGAGGAGGACAGCTGGTGAAAGGGCCAGGCCTCCCAGCCTAACCCCCGCGGGCACGCTGGACACGATTGTATCAGTGGAGCGTGACATGTGGGCAACAGGCCACCCACAGGGATTCAGCGGCAGACTTGGGGCGCTGAGGTCTGATGCGAACGCTGTGCAGTCGAGTGAACTCGTTCACACGTCCAGCCTCAGGAAAGCCCAAGAGACAACTTCCTTCGCCTAGGAACGGGACAACGACAAACAAATGCAAGCGATTTCACTTGTGCTTTTTTGCAGGACGCAGGCCTTTAAGGCAAGGGAGCTAGAAGGTGATTCTGCAGAGAGGAGGAGGAGGAGGGAAGAGTCTCTTCAAAAGAGATTTAAGCAGATAATGCAGATGACGTTTTGTTGTTTAAAGGTTAGTATTACTGTAGTAGTAGTTTAGCTGATTAACTCACCCCGTGCATATACACAGGCAGCAACCATTGTCAACGGGTTTTTTCAGAAGAGGGGAAAAAAATGCTTCAGCAGTGACCGTTCATTCATCATCCCTAATGAGGCTGATAGAGAGTATCGCAGTAATAATAGGTTTTGCAGTACCGCACAGCTTGGAGACTGGGTGCTCTGCATTGTATTCAGCCAGGATTTCAAGATAACATCCACCACGTATCTTCCAGAAACTACAAATTCTGAGGGCTTTGCACAGATAGCCAAGATGACTATCTGCTTTCCTAAGCTATAAACAAAGTTCATCTTTAGTATATCCCTCCACAGAAAGAGACACAAGGACTGGTGTCTGCCAGCAGTCTCTGCCAGAACAATACTGTATTACACTGTTTGATAAACTAACAGTTTTAACAAGCAGATTAGTTTTCCATAATGAAGTAAATGATTCTGACCTATTTATCTAATGCAAATACTACATCTACTATTGCAGAAGTCAGAGGACAGGAGGGTCCAAGGGTACTCAAAAGAATTTAGTCTGACAGAGCTAATTATGACTGAAAAAAAACCGAGAAAGAACTGTACATTTGTTTCACAAAGAATAAGCTCTGTCCCAAGATCCTCCGAAGTATCTGCCAGCCACTATACTTGCTGTCTGCAGCTAGATGACAAAAAGCACCCAACAAAATGCTATACATCAAGCAGGAACCCTGAGCAAAAACAGACGCCAAGAAAAATTATCAAAAAAAGAAAAAACAAAGTGTTCTGATAAAAGTTGTGTTAAAGAAGGAAGTCACAGCTAGCTGACCAAAACTTACACAGGCTGACCAAGAGCAATCAACTGCTTTTTTTTTTTTTTTTGGCTAGGGGCGACCAGAGGTCAGAGGAGAGGAGGGAGCAGGATTTTGACATTTGTTTACTTGGAGGGCTACTATTTTGTGAAATTAAATGGAAGAGTTATTTGCAGGCAAAAGAGACCAACTTCTTTAAATTTAAAGTTTCAAAAAGTTTACAGGGTCAAAAATGAAGCCCTATGTTTATGAGGTGCCATCCTTCTAGTTTATCACTGGCTTTGAGTTCAGGCTATTGTAATGAGAAATATCAAAGAGCAACATTTAGCAATAAACATGAATTACGTTAGCCACCTACTTCTCCCATGAAGTAAGTATCAGGAACAGAAAGAAAAACAAACACTTTCATCATAGACTGTAATTTCAGCTTACCTGCGAGATTTTCAAAATGGGGAAGACCTGATCAGGGCTGCTTTATCAGTGAGAAGGAGCAGAGGCCAAGATAGAGGAGGAGGGAAGACTGAATGTAGATGGTTTTGTGCTGGCTGACTTCATCTGGGACTTCAGAGCTCTGCTGTCACATTCATGTCTGTGTTTCTCTGCTCCCTCTTTCTCCCCCAGCCATGTCTTCCCCAGCTCACCCAGCACTCTCTTGCTCTGCTGCCAGTCTCACAGCGCTTGTCACTAGTGGCAAGATGCCACCAACCAAGCAGATGTTCTCTGCAACAAGCTCTCTCTTCCCCCCTTCAACTGCCTGTCCCAAAGCAGCTCTGCTCCATCCCAGTGATCAAGCTGGTGGGAAGTGTGGGATTTTGTGTTCTGCTCAGTCCCCTGCTCACCTCTTGCTATTTCTTCCAAGAGACAGTCACAAGAGCAAGACAGTCTCTCTTCTATTTGCCCTTCGTAGGAACCCCATCACAGATACAATTTCACTACCTTCTCCCTCAAACTTTTCTCCTGATTGGCATGGTGCCATACTCCTACCCTTCTCCTTTGTATTCTCCCTTTTCACTCCCCCATAAAAATACAGCCATGCTCAATATCTTCAATTCTTAGAATAGTTTATCCCCCCAAAGAAACCCAGTGGTTCCCCTTCTTTTTCATGCTTCTTGGGCACAATGCTTCATGTCTCTGCTTTTCATTTGAAGAACAGCCTTTGCAACCGCTCCAACCTTCTCCAGCAGTCTGCGAGGCTCAGTCCATGACAACACTTTTCTCTCTTCTGCATCTACTCAGAAGACAAATTCAGCTTCTTTCTCTGTCCCCATCACTCTCAGATCAACTTCTGTTCATGAGACGCACCTCCCATGCAAGCTCTTATTGATCTTTTCACAGATGCTCAGCTGCCAGCTCAAGGGCAACTTAAAGCTAAGCTTACCCTTTTCCCTGCTTCACCTACTTTCTTTCATGATTATTGGGCACAAGACCATTACACTGCCTTCCCCAGCACCTGTAAGTCCAGTACCACCCTTCATCCAGGCAGTTGCGTATGTCCATACGTGAATTACCCAGAGCTTTTCTGCCCAATATCTTAAATCCATGGACACCATTCAGCTACTTATCTGCACAGCTGGACTTTGCCTTGACTGCTGCTCTGT